GGACTGGTGATGATTCTCAATCAGCATAAGGAGGCTGTGTGCTTCCCTTCATAGCTTTTAGCATAGTTTGACTTCACTTACAGGACAAAACCTCGATTAAAATATAGATCAGTCTGGGCTGGAGAACTCATGAAAAGTGTTTTAAGTGTGCCAAAGTAATTGACAGTGCACAAGTTATTAGTTTTCAAGGCAACTCGAATGCATGACTTTGTCAGAATAGGAGTATTGAGCAGAATTACCAGTTTGTTGGAGATGCGACAGTTTTTACCTTGGGTCAAGAGGGGAATACCAGGCAGTAGGACGTTAAGGCAAATCGGTTTCTCCAAACCCATCGCTTCGGAGCATAGAGAGGTAAGTTAAACTGTCGACTGATCAGTCCAACAGCGGTGATCGAATTGCGCTTTTTGACACTGGGGGTTCCGTGTTTTCATTCCGTCAGGTCAAGCTTTTTTCATCCTCAGTGCAAACTGTTCGCGTCTCAGACGTCATCCTTACCAACAGAACATAAGGTTGACGGAAACTCGGGGAATGCGCCTACCTGATGAGCCCCAAGAAGGGCGACACCGGTCGTGAGCTGTCGAGGGGTTTTCAGCGACCTCATCAGTAGTGCGTTACGAATATATATGTATCGCGATATCTCGAATATCACAGCGACTGAAACATGAGGCGGCCTGGAATTCAGTTGCCTGGGAACATTACAAACGAGGTATTCAGCTGGAATCCAGGTGAGTCTCTCGCAAAACCAAATTTGTTTGCAAAAGAATTGCAATATCCAGTTTAGTCCAAACTTTCCGGGTCGGAAAACTCAATAACACCATCGCCTGACTACAGTCTAAACTCATTTGTTTCACTATGTGTGCCATCGCTTGACCCAACAAACAAGTGCCAGAACAGCTGTCTGATAGATCGACGGTTGGGTATTACTCAGCCGCATTGAGTCAGTGCAAGTCGACTGGTGTGGTTGTACTGCCGTGCCCTAATCTCCGATCACATTGGGTTGCCTACACTCATGCAAGTGTCCCGTGTGCATAACGCTCGAAAAGATAAAATTTGACCCACATCTCAGTGTTTTTTGTTGCCGAATTGTTCGGTGAAAATCTGACCTTAACCTCAACAGCATGGTTGGGGACAAGCTAAAAGTACAGAACTGTTAGCTCCGTTCAATGCTCAAACAATGAGTTGACCGGGTGTTTGAGCAACCTATAGTAAATGCCTAAATGTCGTCAGTTAATTGAAAATTGGTCATTGTTAGAGAGCATTTTCGTTTTTTCTCTTGTTATAAAACTGTTTTCGGGCAAAAGCACTCACGTTGTATGTGAGCTGATGACACCCTGCAAATTGACCACGTGCTTGATCCAAATAACCGCCTGCTTCTCACGGCTGTTCTCAGCCATCCAAGTCCAGGATGAAAGCTGTTTAGACAACGCAGAAAAAGCACATGACAGCCAGGCAAGAAAGTCATAGAGACAACAAGCTCTGGTGCGATGGCTGCTATCGTGTCCCGGAATGGAGGCTCTGATACCGGCCGTGATGATGGCAAGCAACTCTGGCAAATAAGGTCGCATCGGGTGCTCACTGGTGCTCCTTATTTCTATCACATATATTTACCGCTTCCGGCTTCAGAGAAAGAAATGCACATGCGGTCAAGCTAATACGAGCAGTCCTATCATGGTAGTTCGAACCGCCACGTCTAAAGTAATCCTCTTCACCTCATTACAGTAGTCAGAGGCACCAAACAAATAGGTTTGTAGCTTAGAACACCACTTTCTTTAAGAATCAGTTTACTAGCCAAAAGTTCCGCCCCAAGATGATATAATTACCATAACGTTCGTTTGATGCACTCATTTCCTGCAACGAGTCTTCTTTTTATCTGGACTTTAGGTGCGTGCGTAAACAAAGAGTCTTCCGAACCACCAAGACCTACTACTCTGTTTAAGGACACATCACAGCTCTAAACTGAGTTTCCCCTGCTGCAACAGATGTGCAACAGAGAATGTCTGAAGTGTGATCACTTGTGACAATCGCGAATGTCGGTGAGAAAACAGGCCGTAAAGGCACGTGGAGATAGAGATCAGAATAACGGTGGGAGTGTTGTTGAAAAACATCATGTGTGTGAAAATGACAGTGCACCGCAGGCAATGGAATTCCACAACAGAAGCTTTTCTGTAGATTAGTTTTGCACCGAAATCTGACATTTCCTCTCTCTCCCTCTGAGAGGAACTTTATAAGCCAATGATAGACATCACTTTGCAAAAGGTCTCTGGTAGTGCACTCCCTTATTGTACATCTTCAGCAATTGGTGCTAAATATAGGTTGGAGCTGTATGATACCGGTACCCAGTTTTTGTAATGCATAGACCGGACGGTTGTTCAATACAAAAAAAATTTAGTGTGCCGAGAACTTGCGCTACGAATGCATAGTTCCCGTGAAAGCAGTTCGACTGTTGATCACTTCGGAACTGTTCACTGTTACAGTACGGATGACGTGAAATGGTCGCAAGTTAACTTTTATACAGTTGACGAAAGCTGGAAGCTGCAAGTCAGGTTGTCTATCAGGATCACGGTACCGCAAGCAAAAACCAATTTCCTCTCGAATATCCTTTCTGACTAAATCTCACTTTTCCACTTGTGAAGTTGAGTTTGAAATAACCACCTTTTATCGCCGTACGCGTGTGAACAAGTTCAGTTTACGATTTAATAGGACAGTGGTGATGAGGATGACGGAGATAATCAGCTGAGTGGGAGCACTTAGCGTCGCATCTATTGCAATATCCAGTTTAGTCCAAACTTTCCGGGTCGGAAAACTCAATAACACCATCGCCTGACTACAGTCTAAACTCATTTGTTTCACTATGTGTGCCATCGCTTGACCCAACAAACAAGTGCCAGAACAGCTGTCTGATAGATCGACGGTTGGGTATTACTCAGCCGCATTGAGTCAGTGCAAGTCGACTGGTGTGGTTGTACTGCCGTGCCCTAATCTCCGATCACATTGGGTTGCCTACACTCATGCAAGTGTCCCGTGTGCATAACGCTCGAAAAGATAAAATTTGACCCACATCTCAGTGTTTTTTGTTGCCGAATTGTTCGGTGAAAATCTGACCTTAACCTCAACAGCATGGTTGGGGACAAGCTAAAAGTACAGAACTGTTAGCTCCGTTCAATGCTCAAACAATGAGTTGACCGGGTGTTTGAGCAACCTATAGTAAATGCCTAAATGTCGTCAGTTAATTGAAAATTGGTCATTGTTAGAGAGCATTTTCGTTTTTTCTCTTGTTAGAAAACTGTTTTCGGGCAAAAGCACTCACGTTGTATGTGAGCTGATGACACCCTGCAAATTGACCACGTGCTTGATCCAAATAACCGCCTGCTTCTCACGGCTGTTCTCAGCCATCCAAGTCCAGGATGAAAGCTGTTTAGACAACGCAGAAAAAGCACATGACAGCCAGGCAAGAAAGTCATAGAGACAACAAGCTCTGGTGCGATGGCTGCTATCGTGTCCCGGAATGGAGGCTCTGATACCGGCCGTGATGATGGCAAGCAACTCTGGCAAATAAGGTCGCATCGGGTGCTCACTGGTGCTCCTTATTTCTATCACATATATTTACCGCTTCCGGCTTCAGAGAAAGAAATGCACATGCGGTCAAGCTAATACGAGCAGTCCTATCATGGTAGTTCGAACCGCCACGTCTAAAGTAATCCTCTTCACCTCATTACAGTAGTCAGAGGCACCAAACAAATAGGTTTGTAGCTTAGAACACCACTTTCTTTAAGAATCAGTTTACTAGCCAAAAGTTCCGCCCCAAGATGATATAATTACCATAACGTTCGTTTGATGCACTCATTTCCTGCAACGAGTCTTCTTTTTATCTGGACTTTAGGTGCGTGCGTAAACAAAGAGTCTTCCGAACCACCAAGACCTACTACTCTGTTTAAGGACACATCACAGCTCTAAACTGAGTTTCCCCTGCTGCAACAGATGTGCAACAGAGAATGTCTGAAGTGTGATCACTTGTGACAATCGCGAATGTCGGTGAGAAAACAGGCCGTAAAGGCACGTGGAGATAGAGATCAGAATAACGGTGGGAGTGTTGTTGAAAAACATCATGTGTGTGAAAATGACAGTGCACCGCAGGCAATGGAATTCCACAACAGAAGCTTTTCTGTAGATTAGTTTTGCACCGAAATCTGACATTTCCTCTCTCTCCCTCTGAGAGGAACTTTATAAGCCAATGATAGACATCACTTTGCAAAAGGTCTCTGGTAGTGCACTCCCTTATTGTACATCTTCAGCAATTGGTGCTAAATATAGGTTGGAGCTGTATGATACCGGTACCCAGTTTTTGTAATGCATAGACCGGACGGTTGTTCACTGCAAAAAAAATTTAGTGTGCCGAGAACTTGCGCTGCGAATGCATAGTTCCCGTGAAAGCAGTTCGACTGTTGATCACTTCGGAACTGTTCACTGTTACAGTACGGATGACGTGAAATGGTCGCAAGTTAACTTTTATACAGTTGACGAAAGCTGGAAGCTGCAAGTCAGGTTGTCTATCAGGATCACGGTACCGCAAGCAAAAACCAATTTCCTCTCGAATATCCTTTCTGACTAAATCTCACTTTTCCACTTGTGAAGTTGAGTTTGAAATAACCACCTTTTATCGCCGTACGCGTGTGAACAAGTTCAGTTTACGATTTAATAGGACAGTGGTGATGAGGATGACGAAGATAATCAGCTGAGTGGGAGCACTTAGCGTCGCATCTGGGTTTTCCGAAAGATAAGTCCCAATTCTCTCCGCTACTTGACAAGAGAAGTACACGGACCTCCCAATTCCAGGTATTTACGGACCTTCAAGATCGGCAAACTTCAACAAACGAGCTGAGATGGCCACAAGTATGAGAAGTAATCAGTGCCTCTTAGGCGATTCACAAGCACAACTGAAACTTGAGACATATAACAGTTTCCGTTGAAAAAAAAGCTCCCAGAGCAACTCAAGTTTTGCAGTCAAATTGGATCTTTTTTTGTTTATTTGAAACAAATCACGCGCACACAATGAAAAGAAAACCGGGTTTGCATACAGAAGGATGACTGACTCTTGGTACAAGTGTTAAAAGGCTTCTTCCAGAGAGGAGATTGGATGAAAAGCAAAATCCCCTCTCGTGTGTCACGAATGATTAAGCATAACATAGGATGTGATCTACTCGACATCCCACAGCGGATTCATAAACGGGAATCCGGATTTACACGGATCAGCGAGGTCCGCGAAGAAACAGGCCGTGCCTGCGAGGCCTTCAAACAAAGAGTGTGGACAGTCCGGTCGACGGGCCTGACGGAATGTATCCGACTGCATGAATGTGGCGAACATGGCCGCCCGATGAAGGTACACGAGTTCACCTGTCAAACGGAACATGAGCAGCAAAGCGTAACCGCTCCCAGCCACACCGTGGCAAATACCTAAGTAGAATGAGAAGGGCAAGAGATGAACTGTAGGCAGTGTTGTCAAAATGCTACCCGAAGGCGTAATAAAGATGAAATAACAAAGTTACGGACACATACGAATCTAACTTGTCGCTTTTTACAATTATCAACCTGAAATTCAGTCGGCATCACGTAAATGGCACACAAAAACATGACTCTATAACTGCAAGTTAAAAAAACGCCGATTTATTTTAGGATAACTCAACAGAGCAAGATTTGCCCAGATTGACGTTGCATCGAGTTGTCACAAAGTGGATTATTGTAAGACCACAACAAGTCTAAAAACCTTGTCAAACCAGTCTCAGGCGGCATTAGGTGACCTTTGACCTTCTTTGGTTTTGATCCATTCTGTCATAATACACTGGTGGTACCATATGCAGGTAGGGATGTATTGCGTAAAACACCATCAGCTTCAATATAATCCCGGGAGAGTGACTTGTGGGCTCACTAGGCCACACGGAGTCTAAGATGGGGTTAGCGCTCTACAACCTGACAACACTATGGAATGTGAGAAATCGTTCTTCAGCTAGTCAGGTGAGCTTTTCACAATTGTGGACGCTCGGTTTTGATCAATACTGCAAACAAAGGTTGATCGTCCGGCCTATCAGATGGTGTATCAAGCATGAACGAGTACATCTGAACATCAATTTAAGCATACCAAATGCAACCAACGACACTGTTTCTGATCAGGTAAAAACTCATGGATTTACACCAAGAAGCTGGTACTTTTATTAAGTTCCGGGACAGGACCTACCACAGATTTCGTGACCCTGACTTAAAATAAGCAGGGATGTGCACTAAAATCGAAAAACTGGGTATTCTGGTCAACAGGGTGGCTAGATACGGTGCCATTATCTCTTAGTAACATGGCCTGGTATTGACTGTCTCCTCAAGTGATAACATTTTAGCTTAGAAGTTCATGCCATCAATTACGTGTTTTACTGTATGGGCAGATAACTGTTGATAACGGTCTCTGTTCAAGACAGAAGTAGCGATTAAAAGACCCAAAACTTGTCGGTGTTGTCTTGCATCTTGTTGAGCCTAAAATTTGCTTTATAATCTATTGTATAACCTGAAAGACCTCTCAGACATCGTTTCAGAGAGGTCTGGTAAACAATCGGTGGATGATGCTGAGTTTTGAACACGTTTTTATGCCCTAAACTATCTCCTCCACCGAGAGTTGCGTTTGTTTTTGCAACACTGTGTCTGCCAATAACAGCCTTCTCGCTACTTCCGAAACGTCCGCTTTTGGGGTTATTCTTATACATCTAGTTGACATCAAACCTAACGAGAAATTCATCTAGCTTAACTGAAACCCAGCTACTTTTTTGGCAAATTCATACGAATTTCGGATGTGTGTGGATGATCTGCCGGCCAGCTCATTTGGTGGTGGACCTATACCACTCATTACTGGCCTTATTGGGACACCCTCCTCGCGAATTTTGGGTAGCCCAGTTTGTTTTGTTTTTTTTTTACTCAGTTATATACACTCAAGAACAAAGTCTGGCCATGGGATTTCCAATATCCACGAATTTGACAGGGAAGACTTTGGACAGAGAGCTTCAAACGGATTCGAGTGTCTACGGAGGGTATGTAGGCGACTCATTCACAGTGATGAAGTGTGATAACGTTAACGAATTATTTCAAAATCTTAACACTTTAGACCCTAACATGGAGCCAGAGTTCACATCGGGTACCCTACTCTTCCCTGACCGTACGACGCACAAGAGTGGTGGGAAACCAAACCGACTACTCACCGGAAATCAACGGACAGTGGTGCGGTCTTTAGTTACTCATCAGCACACCCGAAAGCAGCATATGCTAGTATACTTTCAACAGGAAGAGGCCGACCGAAGAGCAGCACAACTTGAGGTAAAAAGGCTTCAAGATAGCGGATACCCAGTGGGTTTAACTAAGCGGCAACTAAGGATGTTGAATACGGCTGATATTGGAATAGCGTTCCAGGAAAGAAAGACTTTACGCTCACTGATGGTGAGGTTGAAGGGTCGCCATTCGGTTGATAGGACTACAGACGGTGTGTACAAAATAAAATGTAACGACTGCGCGGAGGTTTATATACGTCAAGGGAAACGAGCAATAGGATCGGTGAGCACAAACGATGTATTGACAGGTCACCCAGAAGTGTAGATGAATACTACGCGGTAGTCGAAGACTTGGCAACGGCAACTGGACACTATGCACATGACAGATTTTGAAAAGGTAGACATTTTCAGACGGGGACTAAGATCCATACCACGGCGACTGGTGGCCGAGGTGGTGCTAAGATCCAACGGCGACTGGTGGCCGAGGTGGTGGAAATCGCCAAACACACCAGTGTGAATAGGATAGGGTGCGTGGAACTGGCAAGCGAGCGTGGACCGGCTTTAGCTCAGCCGAGATGACACAAGGCCGTGTGCAGTTATCAGTGGGTCTAAGATGACTAATTAGTCGGTCCCAAAGATTTTACAATTGACTGAAAACCTCTCAAGCAGATTTTTCGATATCTTGCCTGACAGTTGGCTTACTCATATCGCACGCGTATATTTCACCTAATCATATTCATAAACCCTTCTATCGTACGAACAACTGCCACTGAGATAGGGCCTGACTTGTGCAAGACAATCACAAGTCTTTGGTTATTTTCCGCTTCGAGGTACGACCACTGCTCTACTACGCCTGAGTTTACTTGATTTTCCTGAATCCGTATAAAAGGGCATTGTGAATCGTTCCATGCGTGGACGCAAGTTTAGGTGGACAAAACGAACAGATTTTTATCTGCAAGTGGAGGTAGTACTCCTCTAGGGTAAAAAGTACAAACACTGCAAAAAACAGTTTGAAACCAACTTCAACTAAGTTGAGATAAATATACATTGGTCTTGGAAAAGAACAGGGTGAAAAACGTGTCTCACAAAGTGACGGGGGAATAATAACACAATGGCGTCATCGTCCCTGGGGAATAGGCTTATCAGAAACAGCAATTACACAATGGATGTCGTAAGCACCGTTTGTTGTCGGGGAAACCGGAACAGAAAACATCTGACTGAGAGGGGCGCGAATGTTTGGACAGACAAGCCACTCAACGGAATAATAGATTAAATAGCCTAATGGTTTCGCCCCGTTCTAACAGATAGCCAGTGCTGGTCTTGGCAACTGTTCACACGTGCGCGGTGGTGAGGGTACACATAAGGGGAAAATACGCTAGGACCATTGGAAGGAAGAAGGAAGCCATGCGCACAACTCAGCTGAAGTACGCTAAGCACTCAAGCGAGGATGTGATTATGATAATAATGATGATGACGATGGAGCTGACGGTAATGTAAGGCAGCCAGGCTCCTGTTTTACGTAATCGATGTATGCCGCAGAAGTTCGCGAATATCAACTTGTGGCCGTGTGAGAATCTAGGGGGAGGGAGATCACCAATAGTTTTGCTTCTCCGTATCCACCATTCACCCTGCAGCAAAGGCCACCCGTCCGACACTCGTTTACTGGACTGCGTTTGCGTGCGCCATTGACCCATTAGCGATACGTTGTTGCTCAACTTCTGATGGGCCTGGTCTGACCTGTCGTGATTTCCGTGTGATTGCACCGCCAATCAGAATCGCGAGACTGGCCTCGGAAGGACGGCTGCAACCCAAACAACTGAACCAACATTCCGCTCTCGGTTCTGTTGTGCTGCGCTGTGCCAGTTAGTGACAGACGTGCACACTTGTTGACGCCACCAGCGTGGACTATCGAAGTTTGTTGCGTAATTTTTTCATTACTTTTATGTAGACTTTCGAACTAAACTCTTCCTTTTGATATTCAGGATCGTCAGGCCTACGCGTGACTTACAACTCTGCATGGGGAACCTCAACAGCTGATGTCTCAGAAGTATAGCTGGCGTCGGCTGGCACCAGCATTGCATTGACCAGTAGACGGTTTTTTGGTGAGCCAGAGGGTAATTCCCTCAAAGTATGGATTTAGCACTGCAAGCTAAGTTGGCTGGGTCGTGTGTTACGCAGGCCGAGTTACCGCCCACCGAGAGGAACGCTGTTTTCCATCCCTAATTCGGAGTAGCGTAAACCTAGAGGTGGACAGAATTTGACATGACAGAAAGGAATGAAGAATAGGATGTTGAATACGGCTGATATTGGAATAGCGTTCCAGGAAAGAAAGACTTTACGCTCACTGATGGTGAGGTTGAAGGGTCGCCATTCGGTTGATAGGACTACAGACGGTGTGTACAAAATAAAATGTAACGACTGCGCGGAGGTTTATATACGTCAAGGGAAACGAGCAATAGGATCGGTGAGCACAAACGATGTATTGACAGGTCACCCAGAAGTGTAGATGAATACTACGCGGTAGTCGAAGACTTGGCAACGGCAACTGGACACTATGCACATGACAGATTTTGAAAAGGTAGACATTTTCAGACGGGGACTAAGATCCATACCACGGCGACTGGTGGCCGAGGTGGTGGAAATCGCCAAACACACCAGTGTGAATAGGATAGGGTGCGTGGAACTGGCAAGCGTGTGGAGACCGGCTTTAGCTCAGCCGAGATGACACAAGGCCGTGTGCAGTTATCAGTGGGTCTAAGATGACTAATTAGTCGGTCCCAAAGATTTTACAATTGACTGAAAACCTCTCAAGCAGATTTTTCGATATCTTGCCTGACAGTTGGCTTACTCATATCGCACGCGTATATTTCACCTAATCATATTCATAAACCCTTCTATCGTACGAACAACTGCCACTGAGATAGGGCCTGACTTGTGCAAGACAATCACAAGTCTTTGGTTATTTTCCGCTTCGAGGTACGACCACTGCTCTACTACGCCTGAGTTTACTTGATTTTCCTGAATCCGTATAAAAGGGCATTGTGAATCGTTCCATGCGTGGACGCAAGTTTAGGTGGACAAAACGAACAGATTTTTATCTGCAAGTGGAGGTAGTACTCCTCTAGGGTAAAAAGTACAAACACTGCAAAAAACAGTTTGAAACCAACTTCAACTAAGTTGAGATAAATATACATTGGTCTTGGAAAAGAACAGGGTGAAAAACGTGTCTCACAAAGTGACGGGGGAATAATAACACAATGGCGTCATCGTCCCTGGGGAATAGGCTTATCAGAAACAGCAATTACACAATGGATGTCGTAAGCACCGTTTGTTGTCGGGGAAACCGGAACAGAAAACATCTGACTGAGAGGGGCGCGAATGTTTGGACAGACAAGCCACTCAACGGAATAATAGATTAAATAGCCTAATGGTTTCGCCCCGTTCTAACAGATAGCCAGTGCTGGTCTTGGCAACTGTTCACACGTGCGCGGTGGTGAGGGTACACATAAGGGGAAAATACGCTAGGACCACTGGAAGGAAGAAGGAAGCCATGCGCACAACTCAGCTGAAGTACGCTAAGCACTCAAGCGAGGATGTGATTATGATAATAATGATGATGACGATGGAGCTGACGGTAATGTAAGGCAGCCAGGCTCCTGTTTTACGTAATCGATGTATGCCGCAGAAGTTCGCGAATATCAACTTGTGGCCGTGTGAGAATCTAGGGGGAGGGAGATCACCAATAGTTTTGCTTCTCCGTATCCACCATTCACCCTGCAGCAAAGGCCACCCGTCCGACACTCGTTTACTGGACTGCGTTTGCGTGCGCCATTGACCCATTAGCGATACGTTGTTGCTCAACTTCTGATGGGCCTGGTCTGACCTGTCGTGATTTCCGTGTGATTGCACCGCCAATCAGAATCGCGAGACTGGCCTCGGAAAGACGGCTGCAACCCAAACAACTGAACCAACATTCCGCTCTCGGTTCTGTTGTGCTGCGCTGTGCCAGTTAGTGACAGACGTGCACACTTGTTGACGCCACCAGCGTGGACTATCGAAGTTTGTTGCGTAATTTTTTCATTACTTTTATGTAGACTTTCGAACTAAACTCTTCCTTTTGATATTCAGGATCGTCAGGCCTACGCGTGACTTACAACTCTGCATGGGGAACCTCAACAGCTGATGTCTCAGAAGTATAGCTGGCGTCGGCTGGCACCAGCATTGCATTGACCAGTAGACGGTTTTTTGGTGAGCCAGAGGGTAATTCCCTCAAAGTATGGATTTAGCACTGCAAGCTAAGTTGGCTGGGTCGTGTGTTACGCAGGCCGAGTTACCGCCCACCGAGAGGAACGCTGTTTTCCATCCCTAATTCGGAGTAGCGTAAACCTAGAGGGGGACAGAATTTGACATGACAGAAAGGAATGAAGAATGTTGCGAAAAGTTTGGGTGCTATTCGCCTTCGAGGACGGGGTCCATGTGACCCTCCTTGTGCTTGGCTGGAGACACTGAGCAATATGGGGCTAACCGGTGTCAGTGGCGTTCATGCTGTCAGGTTCCATTCAGATTGTCTGACTGAGTGTTGAAAGGGTAAGCACCTCGGATGTTTATTGTAGGCTAGTCCTAGGTCCTCCTTTCCCCCATTTCGTTCTTTTTTCAATTATAAGGCACTACTGAAATACATCGACATGGTTTTACGGCAGTGCGCATGGACATTCTCATCTGGTGTTGCTATTAATGACGATGATGACCTCGTATTGTAACAGTATAGTTCAGTGGATGATGCTTTTAAACGGTAGGTACCTTGCTTTGGGCAACGGAGAGGTGCCTCTGAGTGACCACGCTGACGACCGCCTAGTCCGTATCCACTCAATCGTGTGCACCCACAGATCACAGAGCACGGCTGTCTCGAATACTCAGCTTGTCTTCGATTGCTGAGGTGCGATATGACTCAAACCTGATTAGGCTCGCAGATATAGCAGTTCTTCAGGCCACTGTATCAGGAAGAATTGATGGGTGAGATTGAAAGAGTAGACTGATCATTGCCGTTGTCATCAAGTGCGCACTGGAGATGTCTCTCCGACTGGGGACGAGACGTTTGCAAGCTAACTGTCAGATTCGGCGAACAGATCAACGGCCATCTGATCAACCAACGGTACACACACCCGACCTACCGATATTTCGACACACTTATATTCGCCTTTTGTAAACCAAAGTGGTTGTGGTTGTTTGTTACTTATTTTATTATCTTTCTACAATTCGATTGTAAACTTGATTTATTCGAACGTGTTATTTCTCAATTCGAGAGTATTACATCAGTGACGAGAAACGTGCTGCCTGCGTGTCGGACCCAAAAGAGCGAGTCTTGCACGCAACGCTGGTATCGCCAGCCAACTGATTTGACTACTGGACTGTGCACCTGTGTGAATCTTAATGACTTTTGGCATCCAGACANTTCGCCTTCGAGGACGGGGTCCATGTGACCCTCCTTGTGCTTGGCTGGAGACACTGAGCAATATGGGGCTAACCGGTGTCAGTGGCGTTCATGCTGTCAGGTTCCATTCAGATTGTCTGACTGAGTGTTGAAAGGGTAAGCACCTCGGATGTTTATTGTAGGCTAGTCCTAGGTCCTCCTTTCCCCCATTTCGTTCTTTTTTCAATTATAAGGCACTACTGAAATACATCGACATGGTTTTACGGCAGTGCGCATGGACATTCTCATCTGGTGTTGCTATTAATGACGATGATGACCTCGTATTGTAACAGTATAGTTCAGTGGATGATGCTTTTAAACGGTAGGTACCTTGCTTTGGGCAACGGAGAGGTGCCTCTGAGTGACCACGCTGACGACCGCCTAGTCCGTATCCACTCAATCGTGTGCACCCACAGATCACAGAGCACGGCTGTCTCGAATACTCAGCTTGTCTTCGATTGCTGAGGTGCGATATGACTCAAACCTGATTAGGGTCGCAGATATAGCAGTTCTTCAGGCCACTGTATCAGGAAGAATTGATGGGTGAGATTGAAAGAGTAGACTGATCATTGCCGTTGTCATCAAGTGCGCACTGGAGATGTCTCTCCGACTGGGGACGAGACGTTTGCAAGCTAACTGTCAGATTCGGCGAACAGATCAACGGCCATCTGATCAACCAACGGTACACACACCCGACCTACCGATATTTCGACACACTCACTTATATTTTTTGTAAACCAAAGTGGTTGTGGTTGTGGTTGTTTGTTACTTATTTTATTATCTTTCTACAATTCGATTGTAAACTTGATTTATTCGAACGTGTTATTTCTCAATTCGAGAGTATTACATCAGTGACGAGAAACGTGCTGCCTGCGTGTCGGACCCAAAAGAGCGAGTCTTGCACGCAACGCTGGTATCGCCAGCCAACTGATTTGACTACTGGACTGTGCACCTGTGTGAATCTTAATGACTTTTGGCATCCAGACATGGCTGCCTCCGACACAGTCCATCGAATGTTCTTCCGCATCTTTTGGCATCCGTAAGAGTATCACATTTCCACATCCCTTTCGGTGCCTAATTGCCATACCAACGGAAGGAGGCACGAGGGCTAGAATACTGCCATGTCGCCCAAACCTAGACAGGAGAAGTTGAGATGCTGAGGTCGGGTTCGAACCACTCTCGTCCCCTTCTAAGCCCATATTACCTTATCCTTTCTATGCTTAATTTAACCAAGAAAATGGCTGAAATTGTACAAACAAAAAACACGATATTTAGTTTCAATGTTGATGAAGCGCTGCTAAACCAAAAATGGTCCAACGCAGGAGAGAGGGTGATTTTTGGGGTGCAGACCCGAAGTTAGAAGCGAGATCGACAGGAACATCCGTACTTGGGACACTGGACAGCAGATTTAACAGTAATAATAAGGACAACAGGACTGTGGCAAACAGCAGATGGAGCGGTAGGAACCACGAGTCTCGCTTATCAGTAATAGAAATATGTCGCGCATCGCTAAGCCCATACATAGTGTGCGCGGACCAACGGAGAAACACACACATCGTTCTGGACAGGACGACTGGTTATGACGACTGGTCATGTGACTCGTGGCCAGATGGGCAGTAGCTTGAAATCCGTCCAGACCTTCAAGTTCGATTCCCCCACACCGGGCACTCGGTCACAACGGCAACAAACAGAAGCAGTGGTCGGTGAGCAGATAGGCAAACACAGAGCCGGTAGCGATGAGTGTAAGACATAAACAAGTGAGTAACCCTCAGTCACCAGTCGAAGTCCGTATTGGATAGAATTCGGGGACAGAAAAAACACGGGGAAATCAGGTGGCTATTTAACAGCAACTGTATTGTGAGTAGCATTGGCCTGGGACAACGTATATTTTGAGTATTCTGATCCCCTTAAGGAATCAACAGCAGGTTCATGACTAACCTGGTCCCTTTTTGAGCAACCCCCGTTGCCAAACCGTCTCTGCACAACGGCGACATTCGGCCAAATAGCGTTCATCTTTCCACAGTAAGTAGGCACGTGCGTAGGCCATTATTGCCCCTAAAACGGTGATAAGAACAATCAAGACGGATACGAATGAGAATGTGAGTGAACAATCAAACTGGAGAGGTTGGATACGCGCAGCACGACTCCGGTGAAAGTCCATTCGCCCAGAAAATCACTCTCGGCTAATGCGTACTAATGTGGGGGAAGAGTAATTCCAGAAACATTATTTTGAGCAGAATGAATTGGATGTTGGCTGCTGCCTTCAATGCGAGCTATCCATCTCCTTTATCCCTCATTATCATCAGCTAGCGAAGCTACGGCAACTATAAGCATCATGCGACACTACACGGTTTACAGCTGATGATGATGGCGGGAACATTCTTAGTGCTATTGTAAACGTGTGACAGATTAACCATTTCAACTGTAAGGGTTTACACAATCTCAATTCCCGAGGCGATTTCAAACCAAAGTTTCTGACAGAATGATACGTGCTTGTTCAAGGTCGCAACACACAAGCGGCTCGTTTGAAACAGAACCACGTCTGTGGTTGGGCAACTTGTCCAAACACCCAATCACCCACTTGTCTATGAAATGAACGGAACACAGTTCCGTACTTTTGGTGTGACCCTGACGCGTCTGAATCGGAATCAGCTGCCAGCTACCATGGTAGCAAGCCAGTGGGCTTGCCGTGGAGTCACGTGGTGTGAGTATTCCTTCCCGTCCCAGAAGTGGACCAAGACAGCGACATAATTTTAATCTGCTGGTTATACCGATCGAGCGTAAATCCGGGCAACCGTTTCACACTACTGACATGGGCGACGATTGTACACTGCTGACATGAGCGAAATTCGGGAGGGCACGAAGGACCGAACACCATATGATAAACTGTGGTGACGATATCTTATCTGCAGGACGAGAGATTAATGTGGCATAAATAGACGAAGCGAGATGTTATCATGGCTGCTGTTACCGTGGTTTCCAAGGTGCACTACCGTATTTAGCCTGAGCATCCCTCAGCTACGCATCCAATGCAAATAGCGGGAACGGTGTTCTTTGTCTTCCGATTACAAAGTTCTCTCTTTGCAGCAAAGAACTCGAGAAAAGAAATGGGTCTGGTGATTCACGAGTTTTGGTATTGTGGATACGACAGTCCCTCTTAAGAAAAAATACACACATTGGGAACATTTTGGAGGAAGCAAATTATCTAGTTCGGTCTTTAGCGAAAATTCAAGAAGAAACCAGCCAAGAAACGCGGTGAACCATTCGCGCAGAAGCAAACCAAACACCACGAGTGACACCGACCCAATTTAGCTCGCTAGATAGAGCAGAGTCAACAGAAATATTGCCAAGTAATTTTCGATTTCAACATGAACGATTCTTCAGTTTCGATGAGTTCTGAGAGAGACAGAGAAACACTCGGCGAGGTCATTTCGACTGCACACTGAATCAGTGCTTAAAGTTGGTCAAAAGTCCTTAGTATAAGTGGCTGTCTTCAAACCGATGTGTTGGATGGTCTGGAAAAGTGGTTTTTCACTATGAACTCTACATTTGTACAATAATATGATAAATAATAATCGTTCACCATTTCAGTGCCTAGCTTTCATGCCACCAGAAGGAAGCACGAGGCCAGGTATACTGCCAGGTTGCCCAAACCTAGACAGTAGAAGTCGAGATGCAGAGCTCGGGTTCGAACCACGGAGCTTCCGACCACTTTTGGACAAGACGTAGAAGAGACATGCTAGCTTATCAGCCTTCACTTATCAACGCCTTTTCAATCACTACGGGGGACTGATCCTCTCACGGGAGACAACATAGGTGAGCCACCCAACTTACAGAATCTGCTATTTCCCAGATGTGCACGGGCTTTGTGTCGATCTTCATTACCTAAGTTCCATTCGAATCTGATGTACGCTGGGCCACTAAATAAGATGGGCCTATTCTTGGCACAAACAAAGTTACTATGATATCCAACAAAAAGATGTGACGGAATGACATCCGAATAGTACTTCGCTGGGATAGAAACCTGCTTCCTCACTGCGGGGGTAGTGGTAGCTGGAAAGGAAAATCAATAAGAAACGCACAATCGTAATCCTGAAAAAGGTGTGAATACGAGTCCGTAGGAGATTCCGCAAGTAAATTGCGTCACGTACCATGACAAATGTGAATCACTCATGATTCTACAGAGTTGGTTGGGATGTAGGGAAGGGAGTCACAGCCAAGTTATTGAAGGTGAAAGTCTGTAAAAATGGCTGACTTCGTACCATAATAACTATTGATAATGGACACAAATCGTTCAGCTGTAGCCTTCGTTCGGTGCTTAGCCGCCGTGCCACCCGAAGGAAGCACGAGGGCTGGGATACCGTCAAATTGCCCAAGGCTAGACAAAGGAAGTCGAGAGGTAGAGGTCGGTTTCGAACCACGGACCTCACGGTCAGTAAATTCTTGCTCTAAACACTGACCGATGAGGATGGACAACTTCGCAAAATAGTTGCAATGTACCGGTTGCATATATGTGTCGCCTTATTCAACGGCAAAAAATACACGAAAAATCCCTAGGTGTGCAAATACCGATTGGCCGAAAATCAGTTGAAAAATAATTCAGCAACTAAGGATGAAGAGCCTTCTTCACTATTATTGTGATAGTCTCTGTGGAAGATACCTTACAAGGTGGCGTACGCTTTCACTTCTTGTTACTGATCTTTTGGTGCTGTGAAAACTCTTGATTATTTTCTCTACTCTGAATTGAATTCTTTCACCACCTTATTTTATAGAAGCTCCCCCCGATTTATTGAAGAATTTCATTCAACTTCATGCTACTTACAACACTACTGTCGGAGATGTCTAAAGGTTGAATCTGCTCGGGATACTCGGGGTGCCAGATGTGACAGAGATGAGTGTGCTTTTGATGCCAGAACATGACTTATAGCGTCAGTCCTTGAACGACCGAGCAGGTGAAACTCTGAAACCGTGATTTAAGATGCACGTTGCAAAACACGTACGTTGCGCCAAGGATGTGATCAGATGTCAAGTTAGCTGTAGGGAGGAGCATACTACTCATAAGAATGTCATAAACGAGATATTCAGCTGGATTCTGTGGATTCTCGTGTTAAGACCAAGTTGATCTGAAAATGAGCGAATTCCACAAGTATCGTGTATTGTCTTCGATAAGAATCAGTCCCCATGACAATAAAGAGGTGAAAGTGAAATTAGTACCACCGGGTAAAACATCATTGAAGGGCAGATGGGTTTATCATCAGTGGAAGTAAGTTAGTGCCAGATAAAGATTTGCAGCTCATTGATGGCTATCCGAAATGGTGTCACAACTGAACGATATGACTTGACATTCTGTGATTGTCCGGGACGATCACTGCTGATTCACCCCTGGACGCTACCTGAAGCGGCACATGTTTGAAATCAGCCAATAACTATTTTCTTTCTGATAATGCGGGTGATTTCGAGGACAACAACCCAGATGGCTCAGTGGTTAGAGTACGAATTTACTGACCGGAAGGTTCGTGTTTCGAACCCGACCTTTGCCTCTCGATTTGCCCTGGGGCAACCTGGCAGTATCCCAGCCCTCGTGCTTCCCTCTGGTGACGTGGTAGTTAGGCACCGAAAGCGTGCTACAGCTGAACGATTATCTATTTACACCTGCTCAGATGTCACAAAAACTGAAACAACGGAGATTCTTTGCGGCTAAAGTGAACGTATAAGTTTTCTGGTTTATAGCACGATAGGGCTGACCACTTGAAATATCCTCATTATTCGCCTTTCACGTCTCCGAGACATACGGTTTGAGTTAGTGAGTTTGTACACATATAGAGGTCGCTGTGCTCGAAAATGATCAGGAGTCCGCTAACCGTACGACGTTTATGACCGCATCACACAGCAGGGTGCACACACTGTGTAGATACTAACTGAGGGTAGTTGTAGTAAAGTTTGCTCCATGTAGGCTAAGCACGGTACAATGCAAAATAGCGCACTTACACATGGGATTCTCCGATGGTGGCCATAGGTGTCAGATTGGTTTACTACTAAACTAGAAGAGAGATGGAGTTGGTCAGCAAAAGCAGACGATCGATCTAAGCGTTGTCGAACTCATTCAGCGGTGCTGGGAGACGTTTAGGTTTGGTTATTAGTTAAGTGAACCAGTAAGACGGACCATTAGCAGTCTGTAATGCATTTCCACTAACGACGCACCGATGATATCACCTTGACAGATGATGAAGCGCCTGCCACCAAACTGCCCAGCTGGGCAAACAAACAAAGGATCACCATTAGCAGGTTTTGTCACTGGAAATAAGAATAGGAATGACAGCTCCCAACCTCTTTCGACTACTCCGTCGCGTGGTACTCGGCGGGTCGCAAAGTAATGAAAAATCACGTGCATCTTTCAGCTGACGAGACATGGTTATGTGCCTCACGGCTGGATAGTCTTTTCCACATGACCAAGTGAATTCACGATCACCCAACGATAGAGTACACCTTAGGGATTCCGAAAACGAGATGCATGCTTAGAAGTCGGGTCGAAATCAGCACAGCCGCGTGAGAGCTATTAATGATATGGCGTTGACTAAACTCAGTCACGTGACAGTGAACCGGGGGACGGGTTTCCTTGATAGTAGTCTCCTTTACTCTCAATCAGATGTTCAGTAGAAAGGTTGTCTCACCCGTTCAGATCATCAGAGTTCTGTGCACAAACTCGCCACACCTGTAAGCAAGGATGCAAGCGCGCCACCCGTCAGGTGAAAAATAACGGCGAGAAGATTTGAGAACTCAAGATTACGGTTTAGAACCGAGTGACACCATTACGGTGTCTGGTGCAAAACGGTTGGCTTTGTACGACACCCAAAAAATAAGCTTCTCACAGCCGTTCCACATTACATTATGAGTGAACCCTAATATTTGTTAGAGCTTTCAGCGCACTTGTAGCCGGACGCAACAGGCATCGCAACACAACTTGTAAGCGATTTCACAAATAAAATATCGGTCAAACTATTTCACTGAAGCGCAACTTAAAGTGAGACACCAAGAGGCACAAGAAGAATTCTATTCATCAGGAGATCCCCTAGGCTGGTGAGAATGTTTCTAGCCACTTCAAATAGACCTTAAACGTGGTCCTGTGCCGAATCTGCTTTGTGGCACACCTGACCATCAGGGCTATACGATTGCCTCTGGTCAGAACTCCAACGTCAGCTCTATCAGAAAGTCAGCTCATTCACCTGCAGTTGCAGAGATAAGTAAACTGGTAGAAGTGATCGTAGGCTTGAAACAAGAGCAGAACTAACCCTGTTAAACGAGTTCGGAGCTTGTCGGTTGACCCTGATTTAACTTGGAATAACAGGCGTCTGGCCATAGCACGAAGAAATCGCTACTATAAAAACCTAAGGCCCTCGAGAAAATAATATTCGTTAATCGACTCTGGCCTGTAATGTGGGCCCAGAAAAACCTGATGGTCACTTTGAGGCTACGATCACGTTTCACTTAAGTTCCATACGAACGATGCCCGTACTTTTTTCACTTTATTCGGTCTTGCGTGTATTGCGGTGGACGAGGGCCCAGAAAAACCTGATGGTCACTTTGAGGCTACGATCACGTTTCACTTAAGTTCCATACCGAACGATTCCGTACTTTTTTCACTTTATTCGGTCTTGCGTGTATTGCGGTGGACGAGATTGTATGAAATTTATTTATCTCTCAACATAGTCATTCTCGCTTTGTTGAAAATCAGTCGTACTGATTCACCAAAAACAGTTCACACAGGGCAGATAAAAGCATCACTCAGTAAGTATGCTAACCTGTGGCACCATGACACCAGTGGACGAGAATATCTGAATCCGGGCGTTGACGCTGCGGTCCAACTTCATCCATCGCACAGGGCAGATTACCTGTCTGGGGCGACGTAATACTTATCAGATAGAGAAGGGTCTGTTGTACAGCTTGGTCTGCAGCCGGATTAGATCGCAAATAGCTCGGGAAAAGCATCAGAGCGAACAAGATACCAATCATTCCATGTCCAGCACCTGTGGCAAGAATGAAGCCGGCAAGAGGAAAAAAGTGCAATCATAAATCAATCGAATAGGGGAATGATTAAAACGACCGAAAATGGGGGCCAGCTGGGCGATACGCTTAGCAGTTGTCATCAGGATAGTTTTGGAATTTCACCACTGGTGAAAATGTTGTAAAGAGGTTGTGCACACGAAAGATCGGCTTCCCTACCAGCTGAAGCGACTTTGATAGCCCCATATGGATACTATACGACCATGAGCAGAACTCTACGGAGACTCAAAGCCGGCATTAGATACAAATCCATGGGTCAGTAATACTCTGTGGCGATTTTCAGTTCAACAGAAGCGTAGAAAGAACCAATGGACTTTCAGATTGGGCGTGCTCGTGCGATCATGAGCGGCCCTCCACTTTTTTGATCAATGTAACTATTTCAATATGAGTGTTGAAAGTTACGTTGGCAGTTACGTTCCAATGCACATACAGTAGCAATCCTCAGTGTGCATTCACTGACGATGTCTCATCATTTAGTGATTAAACTGTTGTGAACAAATCTTCAGGCTCGGATGACAGAGTCACAGACATTTCAGCATATGGTGAGTTGCTTTTTGTTAGTTTTTCTATTCAAGCTTACTAATGGGAGCAGTATACAAACAAACTGATATCGTGTGAAGTGAAATGTAACCATTTGTAACGTGTGAAAACGAGTGAAAACCACAAAAGTCCTCGATTTGGCGTTACAACGAGCTAATAAATAAAACGAGCTAATAGTGCACGTGACATCACAGGTGGCGAGCCGGTTGTTGCGCACGCTTCGGTGAACAAATGCTACAGAAAGACAACATAGAATCATCGAAAAGACAAGCATAGCTATTGAAGCGTTATCCATTCGATTTAATAGCGGAGCCAGCAAAGGTATAGGGTATCGTGCCACTTCTCAGGATCAGTGAATACAATTTTCACCCTCGACAGAGCAGGTCGTACCAGTTGGCTATAATGCAACGATTTGATCTTAAAATAACAAGTGGGATGACGGGTAGGGACGGAGTAACATGAGTAGGATCGATTAGTTGAAGTGCATGATGGACACAATTTAGTCTGTTCGAGTAATTGCTCGTTGTCTTGCATCAAGAGATCAAGGAAGGCCTCCAGTAAAGCAGTCAAACGAAGTAAGCGAGATGATAGATGCCACGATTCCTGTAGGAACATGCAGTCCGTTCTAATGTGCATGCTTGTGGTAGATGGCACAAGTGTGTTCTTCGTGGAATATTGTACTGGAAGGATACGACTGATTCCCAAAAGGCTATTTCGATTCGACCGGGTGTGGAGGGATCGGTCATGTGATACTTTGACGACCGGTATCCTAGGAGACCAGTCTCACGAAGTTTTACAAACAAACCAATAGAAGTGAGTAGATTTTCTACCGAGAATTATTTATGGCGCAGCTATTCATCAGTAACTAGTCCTCGATGAGCCAGTCGGCCACTTTGGCTAATAGTTATATGGATCGTAGGACCGCATACTCCCAAGCAAACTTCCGAGAAAATGGTTTGGCAAGCGCAGTGGTCTCCTGAAGAGACCACATGAAAAGCCAACCAAAAGCAGTCTCTCATCAGGAGGGGGTGGCGACCGAACACTCATGAGTATCTATAGTACTCGACAAGGTTAACAGGCAGTTAGAACACCCTAGAGGAACGTACTTCTGGAGGAAAGCTGTGCAGCCGGGCTCCAATCGCTCATTTATTGGTCTTAACAGCTTTCGCAGTCAGTCCGTGAAGACCCAACGCACGGTCAACAGTCGGTACAACCTATTTCCAGCCACACACTTGATTAACCAATCCCCGTTCCCGGATCATTTTTGTCGTTAGGTTGCAGACAGCTAATGTACTGAACTACTATTGAAATGACAATATTTCATTGGGAGTAGATAACTAGATGAAACAGCGAACGACAGACAATTCCCGAAAGCAACGTTGAAGTTTTTGTTTCTATTCAGCCCCCTTCCGGAAACTCACCATAGTGTATTTGACTGTGGTAGAACGTATTCATCCTAGCATTTTTTCAAGATTCCAAACTGTCAGTTTCACCCCAAAGTTTGTTTGGGATTCCAATCACCAATGAAGGCGACTCCACAACTACTCGAGATTCTCTTAGCATCTAAGCTTAAATGTACAAGTGAAACAGGTACACAGTCTCAGTCGGAACGATATCCAAAGCTACTGCTCCTCGAGGGTCTAATGGGCCTTGCGGGTAGTTTCTCGTGAATGAGGGACAGCATTTAAACCGACGGTATGCCCAAATAATGGTACACAAATCAAACCAGTTGAGATTAAGTAGAAGTATTTGAAACCGACGGTATATGCAGATGATGCGGTGACCCAACCCTCCCAAAACACGCAACCAGATCACACATCACTAGCTCATATCAGTCAACGATCGGTCTGACTTGCATCAACTCTCTCTCTCTCTCGAACATACACATACTAAACTTGAAGCACAAACTGCACCATTTGAGAAGGTGACGGGAATCAGTGCAAATTATTTTCCATTCAAAAAAGTAGGGTGTTAAGTAATATTGGAAAAAGTGCAACGGCTTGCGACATCCTCGTCGAACAGGTAACTTTGACAAGTCGGTCAATTCCCATGAACGCGACAATTTTGGGTTCGCTCCCCCGAACTGAGTCACTGGTTTAGGGACTCAGGTTACTTATGCTGAGAAGCTGATCACCGCATGCAGAAAATATGTCTATCCAACGCCCAAAGATGTGCAACCGGTGCCAGACCTCGTTATCCAAAGGGCTAGTCAGTCGACACCGTGTGCATACGGACCTGGATAAGCTTTGCTGGAGTGAAGAGCTGGTGATCAGTTACTTGCCCTTCGAAGTCATAGATTGCCCGTAAGGCGCACTAGTAGGAATGAGTTCGAATCTTTGAGCCAATGATGTCTGCCAGCGGTCCTTATCTTTGAGGCATATGCAGGTCAAGTCCTGCTTTTCGTTTGCTGTAACAGATGTTCACATCGAAGAACTGAGTTTCTTCAGAGAAAAAGAGAGATGATGCTATACTCGAGAAAGTTCAGAAGTCAAAGTTTTCAGTTGCTCACCGAATATTCCAAGACCACAACTTACAGCCCGATCAGTCTTGTTTAACCATCGGTAACTGGACAGTAGCACAATATCTGTGCCGCAGCTGCAACATACGATGGCAACTATAGCCGACAATCAGCAAACAGTAAGGGCATTTTCGGGTACTTGAACCCAACTGGAATGCCTGGACTCATTAGTTCACGGTTTCACAGTTGCTTGGCACACATTCCGTCACCATTCGAGGAGATACCGTCAGCGCACTGCATTGACGATGCCCCCTGGAATGGCAACGAAATGTCTACAGATCAATTGTGAGGCTTAGCAAACACGTCAACAATTAATGAATTCACCCTAGCCACCGATGTTTCACAACGTTTGGATTCATCATTCCCTCAAGTAAAATACACCAGCACAGTCCATTTTTGAACCCCGGTTTTCCGAGAGTAAAGATCAAGTGTTCCCTAAACTTTTCAACTAACACGATAACAAACTCAAAGAGAAAGAGTGGAGAGACGGTGAGCGGGATACTAATGACAACCCTCGTGGCTCAGTTTCCCAAATTCCAAAAAGAGGTTTAAGCTCGAAAAACCAAACAACGCTCAGATATTATTTTTGAGCTGGTTTGAACTACGTACACTTGAAGATGACAGCTAGAATGGGTTTTGTGAGCGAAAAATTGCCAAGTTGGGATTAGCAGTGTGGGTTTTTTCGAGCGATATACACACCCACATGAATGCATGCAGGCGATCACTCGTCGTCATTGCGAACGACCATCACACTCAAATACTAGCCTGGCATCTCACCCTCACCCTATTCGAGTTTTTCTTCCCGATGACCGACACGTCAGGGTGACAACATTTGAGGAGCAGGGCACGCGCGTGCGTTACAGCAACTGGGAGACGACGTCAGTCATTCGGAGACCTCTCGTTAGATTAGTGAAATGAAAATGGGACGGAACAGTCAAGCGAGCGAGTGGGAACAACAATAAAAGGCTTCTACCGAGAGGAAGAATCAAGTGGAAAACAAACAAGGACTTAAACAACAAAACCCTCCAGAATTGAGTGGCATTTGGAATCGCGATGGGCACTAAACAAACACACAGCGGATTTGCGATAAATGGTACGGGGAATTAAAAGGGAATTAGGGAAACCGGAAGAGAGAAATCTCATTTCCGAAATGAAACTAGATACAATGGGGGATACAGAACGTGCGACCGGCAGCGTCCATATTGTCCTAATGGAGTAAATAAATGGCAAGAAATAGCAAAACGAAGAAGTTATTTATACTGTCTTCAGTAGTATTGAACGAATAAAGTTTAAGAACAAATTCAGCAAGAGTGAGATGAAGGGGAATAGTCGATAACCCAGTGAATTGACTAGTTTACAGTAACTCATATGCTTAATTCAAACCAATAATTGTCACACAGACGAGTATTGAATTCCAAGTAGAGAACTTACGTTGAGAAGGGATGGGGACATAGTAGCAAATGAACTATAAGTATAGTACGTTACTTATAAGGTTGCTGAAATTCTTTCGACAGTCTACTACGGGTTTCGACTTTCTTGGGCTTCAGCAAGCAGGCACAGTCTCCGAGGGAACCTCGGAGACATTCCACATAGATCGAAACTAGACACACTCGTACGTAAGCGGTTGAATCTCATTTAGAATCTTCTATAAACGAGTGTACTGCACAACAGCCGCCTGTAATGTTTGGTTGCTACGTCGTCTGTACGGAATACACAACTCACAAGCTCACCGAAGGCTTCTCGACGGCCCGCATGCGCCTTCATCCCTATCGGGCCACAGCAGTTGGGCGCAGTCCCCAGTTTCCATCAACCTTAAGTTTCACTTGAACCCAAATGGTAAACACAAAAAATACACTGCGATATCTTGACTATCGTACCAATTAAAACATGAGACGGTCTTTGTAC